GAAGTAAAAATTGAGGCTCTAGAGTAGAATACCTTCTTAACACTTTATCGACCGCTAGCGGTTCAAGATCCTATCTCACCGTCCGCTCGGCAGCAAATCTTCCCTGGTACCGGGAATTGTATAAAAATACGAGAGCTTACAGAGTAAAGCAACTTGTATCTCAATGCAAAGTAACAAATACTTGCTAGTTGCCATAGCAGTTACCGGTCGGTAAGCGTTGGGGGCAGAAAGTCGATAAATCGACTACCGGTCGGTAAGAGTTGGAGACAAAAAGTCGATTAATCAACTACCAGTCGGTAAAGTGTTAAGTTATCCTCCTTGAGTTAAAAGAAACAATCAGATTACTGCTCGTTACTGTTATACAGAAAGAAAAGCATGCCTTGTGAGCCATGTTTCCCAATTATGTCGTAAACAATGCCAAGAACTCACCAAATCGCTTCCATCTTCAGCCACAGGTCTTAGCCAGCAAATAAGTTGTGCTGCAAGTTGCAGGGGATCTCTTGTTAAGATATCGTTGGACTTTCTCACAGTGTAATAAACTAACTCCAAGTCCCTCTCGAGAAGGTACCTCCGTGAATGCTCCAAAACGCATCTCACGTAACTGACGGAAATCATTTGCACGGCCGCAAGAAGGAAATCGAACGCGCAAACGGCTAGTTTCTTCAGATGCTCCACATCGCCGGCTTGAAGTAGGTGCAACCAAGCTTCCTCGACGTGCCTTAGGTTGTACGCTCTATCCTGCGATACTGGTCTACTTTGATAAGGCGTCTCCTTCTTCGGAGTTTCCACTTCCGGCGATGATTTGTCATCCTTGAGATCGAAGTCTTCCCAAAAGAAAAGATTCGCAGCTTCTCCATCGTAGCTCTTCAGAGTCTCGTGGTTGAGAAAATATTTCTTTCGAGCTAGATCGCGAATCGGATGCCGCCAACTAAATAGTAGCATTCCACTCATCACGCGAACCTTGAATATGGAACATTCGTTGTCGATATTAACATGTTTGACGTTATCTACGGACCACTGTTCATCATTCCAATTAGGATACGTTGCAAAGTGATTGTTTAGGTCGCAAATTGTGAATTTGATAGCAGAATTACAAAAATCAAAATGGCGGATCTAATATGACCGTCTTGTATATTATATATTTATTGGATTTTCATGAAACTTGCTATTTTTGAGTTATTTGAGCAGCGAACGTTGAATCTTATATCAGAATTGCAAAATTCAAAATGGCGGATCCAATATGGCCGACATGTATATTAAAAAGCCATTACATTTTCATGAAACTTGGTATTTTCGAGTTATTCACGTTGCAAATTATGAATTTGATATCAGAATTACAAAATTCAAAATGGCGGATCTAATATGGCCGACTTGTATATTAAACACGTATTAGATATTCATGAAACTTGGTATTTATGAGTTATTTGACTCGCAAATTATGAATTTGGTATCAGAATTACAAAATTCAAAATGGTGAATCCAATATGGCCGACATGTATATTAAAATAATTATTAGGTTTTCATAAATCTTGGCATTTCTAAGTTTATTCCCGTTGCAAAGTATGAATTTGATATCAGAATTACAAAATTCAAAATGGCAGATCTAATATGGCCGACTTGTATATTATACATTTATTGGATATTTATGAAACTTGGTATTTTCGAGTTATTCACGTTGCAAATTATGAATTTGATATCAGAATTACAAAATTCAAAATGGCGGATCTAATATGGCCGACTTGTAGAGTGTACATAAGAATGGCAATTTTGTTAGCAATGAAATATGATTAAAGTTACCCTGAGACTTTCGTCGAGTGTCCTTCTGACCAAGCACCAAGTTGAAAAATTAAACAGTCCGTCCTCAAGCGACGAGGGTCCGTCGTCCGTAGTTTGCATGATCGCCTCGAGAATTTCTGTTTCAGAGAAACCGTATTCCGTGCAAGCCAATATGGCGCCAATTCTATTGGCGGCTGTCTCGCCTACGAGTTCCTCTAATACGTCGAATACATTTTCGGTTTCAGGTGAACCGGGACCTGGATCTTGAGGTTCGACTAGGATTTCACTGCTGCGCAATATTTCCTTCTGCGCGGGCGCGAGACGCAACATCTCCGGCGGGACAGCAGTTGTTACTACCAAGTGCACTCCTATAATGAATATTATGACTAGACTTTGCATGTTTCTGCAAATTTATATTCACACAGATAGAGAGAAGTAATTCTAATTTAAATGGAAGTGTATCTTCTTTTATACGGTGTAACGTGTGTATTGTTGATATTTTATATATTTTTTTATTTGTGCACAGTTTCATATATTTCCTCATATATTCATTTGCCATAAATGCATAAACATTAGGGTATATCAACAAACATTTTTGTTTTCTCTCATACGGGGTCAAAAGTTTCATTTATCGATTAATCTGTATTATCGACGGATATAATCTGTCTTATCGACGGAGTACTCTGTATTACCGAATCTTATCGACAGAGTGCACCACATTATTGTGGAAAGTACTGAATATTTACTAGGGTGTTAAAAAGAAAATTTATTTGTCTCCCAAACAGAGTCAAGAGCTTTATTTAGGTATAAGAATAAGTCTGTTAAAATTTGAAAATAGAAAAGTGCGATGCGGAATCTCTTAATGTTAATATTCAGAGCTGAAGTTTTAACAGGCTTATTTTTATATCTAAATAAAACTCTTGACCCTGTTTGGGTGACAAACATTTTTTTTTAAACACCCTAGTAGTTTACTTTTAACTTTTCACAGTAATGTGGTGCACTCTGTCGATAAGATTTGGTAATATAGAGTACTCCGTCGATAATACAGATTAATCGGTAATATAGAGTACCCTGTTGATAAGACTCGATGAGTGGAATACTTGTTCGGTAACTCAGTTATTTTTAATAGTAATGCAGGACACTCTGATGATGAATTCTTCGTTCAACTCGTTAAATTAACTGTTTTACTACGTTACCTGCTGGCAAATATAACGGTAGCCACGACAGAGCGGCAACTATGTTGCATTCCAACGGATGCAATCGATGAATATCATCGATAAGAATCAACAACTGTTCTTTCAGCGGTTCCTCTTCGATTCGTCTCATGATTTGTCCGAACCAGTTGTTCAAATAAAGGGGATCGAACGAAGCGTCTTTGGGAAGATTACCATCCAATAAACCAGATAGGAAACCAATGTGTTGACAGAGCACTCGAAATAATTCTAGACTGTAAGCCGACCTAGGGGTTGAAGTGCAGAGACGAACAACCTTGAATGTTGCACAATCCAACCACAACGAAGCGTCCATATAAATTCTTGAAAGCAGCGCTGATTTGCCAGAATACATGCCCCCTTTGATCAGTATTGGTGTATGCTTCTGTGATTTACCTGTTGAATATTCGAAACAAATACGTTGCTACATTAACGCATTCGTTGTACATCCTAGAAGTACAGACAGGGTAAATGCAAGGCGACTATCCCCACCCTTGACACTCGGGCAGCGAGTAGTGTGATATAATCCTTTTCGTTTATTTTTTAAGGTGAATGGCAACTGAGTCTCCTATTTTACCACTATGTGTTTGCTCTTTCCAATTTCTCTTTTTCTTTTAATGACTTTTTTTTATTTTTCCTTTGCTTATCTTTTGCCACATAGGATCTTCAATAGTTATACAGGGTGTCCCAAAAATGTTGTAAGAGGTTGGAAAGAGGTGGTTCAGGAGATGATTTAAAACAACTTTTTCCTTAGCGAAAATGTTGTCCGAGGCTTCGTTGAGAAGATATTAACGGAAAACTGAGTTATTTGTCTAGCAAATTACAAATGTAATATCAGAATTACAAAATTCGAAATGGCGGATTTAATATGTCCGACTTGTATACTATAAATTTATTGGATATTCATGAAACTTTGTATTTATGAGTTATTTGGCTTGCAAATTGTGAATTTGGTATCAGAATTACAAAATTCAAAATGGCGGATCCAATATGGCCGACTTGTATATTAAACACTTATTAGATATTCATGAAATTTGGTATTTATGAGTTATTTGGCTTGCAAATCACAAATTTGGTATGAGAATTACAAAATTCAACGCCGACCAATCAGAGCGCGAGTAGCCGGTGGACCGCCAGCGGTAACGTATGAGCGCAGCTGCCTAGCGCGTAGCCACGCCCACCGCGGGCGGTCCATCGGCATACTCGCGCTCTGATTGGTCAGTGTTTTCTGTTAATATCTCCTCAACGAAGTCTTGGACAACATTTTCGCTAAGGAAAAAGTTGTTTCAAATCACCTCCCGAACCACCTCTTTCAATGTGTTACAACATTTTTGGAACACCCTGTATATTGATTTATTATGGACGTGTGTGAGAGCAGTAAGACTGTACTCGAAGTTTTCAATTAGACTTTTGAATGTGACTATGTCGAAGCATTCAGGACTCAAACACTCGAATATTTAAATACTCAAATGTGGAATATCGATTGCATATTCTAAACATGAAATTGGAAATTCTACGTAATATTTTAGAAATAATGCTTGAATTTTTACCAGAAATTAGAAGCGCCTTGATACGTTCAACATGTTCATTCTCATCGCAGGGTTTGATTTCCCTTAGGAGCGCAAGATGCATCAAACTCTCCGCATAAATTTCTTGCACCATCTTCTTTTTACTCTTTATCTCGGGATGCTCTTCAATGGAGGCGTTGACAAGTATCTGAAGTCGGTTGACGACCAAACGACAAAGATGCGACAAGTAACCCTTGTGAACTCTGTCAGGATTGATCCCACACGTCTTCGGATCTACTTCTACGTTGATTATATTGTCTGGCGGTAGATTATTCGCGATAAGAGATTTCAGCGACGTCGCTCCCTTTGAACTCTTCCTGCCTTTCCATGTGCGTATCACAGCCATGATACCTTCTCGTGATTCATCTAACCCTGAACAAAAATAATAACAATGTAAAATTTAAAACCTGCCAGCATTTTTCTCGAATTTAGATACACAGGGTGTCCCAGAATTAGTGTAAGAACCGGAACTGGGACGATTGGACGAGGTAACTGAGACGATTCTGAACAAAAATTTCCTTTGCAAAAATGTCGTATGTTGCTTTGTTTTTGAGTTATTAAAGAAAAACCACCGACCAGTCACAGCGCCCGAGTAGCGCGCGCTCAACTAGCCACGCCCCGACCTGACGTAACCATCCAATCCTCGCTCGAGCCTAAGCTCTCGCGGCTGAGCGTGCGCTACTCGGGCGCTGTGATTGGTCCATAGTTTTTCATTAATAACTCAAAAACGAAGCAATATGTGACATTTTTGCAAAGGAAATTTTTGTTCAGAATCGTCTCAGCTATCTCCACCTCTTTCCAGTTCTACACTAATCCTGGGATTCCCTGTATAGTATTGTGCAAAAGTCTTAGACCACCATGTGAAACTTGCATTACACTTCAATAAGTCTATGTTAATGAAATAAATATGATGTATATTTATGATAAATATGATATATACATATCAGTGTACTACATATACATATAATAGAATTGTACAAAATTATTTAATAAGTTTAGAGGAGAATGAAACTACCAAAAATGAAGAAACTTTAACGGTTAAAATTATTATTAGCTTCATAAAAAGAAGAATTTAACATGTTATAACAGATTTCACGTAGCATTTAACTGAGTTTTCGGAAAATTATTCTATTTTATATCAAAGTGATACACATACACGTATTCGTGTATTAAAAGTGGTAAATATAGATGTCGTATAATATAACCAACAAATTTCAAATTTATGTTAAAAAGTAGCGGGAATGTTTCAGTATTTTGTCGACTCTATACAAATTTAGAAAGAATCATTTTTATTATTAATTTACCTAAGGCATACTCGAGTTGTCTCTCAGCGCTGCTTTTCAATATGTTTCTGATTTCTTCGTTATCACATTTTTCAGAAACAATAGATTCCGCAGCTTTCTTTAAGGTTTCTCTCAGTTTTGGTTCCTCGCTTTGCCAACTGGTGCTTGCTGTCCCCAGTCTGTAAATTATTTATAATAAATGAATATATTAGTAGAGAAATGTTGGTAGTTAAAGAACAGGCTGAATGAGCCAGGAAAGACAAGAACGACAAAAGTATTCTGTTTTAATGAAGACTGTCAGAGTCATGATCTCACTTTTGGAACCACACTATATAGAAATTGTAGTACACATTTAGTATAACAAAACCCTAATGGGTTTTTTCAGAATAAGCCCTTGTTTTCAAGATATTTTGATTAAAAATTTGACAGGCATCTAGTAATTCAATTCTATGAAATCGTAATCGAAGAGTGATTGGTGGTTGACCGGTTGAGTACAAGGTTGTCACGCCGTCGACTAGGGTTCGAATCTTTCGTAGTTGTGGTACATTTTTTTTTCCATTGTTTACTGATTTTTAATCCTAGAACAACATTTCTGCTACTTTATGTATTTTTTTTTTGTATATATGTCGCATATTTTTTACATTCGTCGATAAAGATTAGAATATATTGTTTATAAATACACGTTTCAGAATAATGGTACAAAAAAATATGCGACATATACAGGGTGTCCCAAAACTCGGGGTGGAGGCGGAAATGGGGGGTAGCTGAGACTATTCTGAACAACAATTTCCTTTGCAAAAATGTTGGATGGGGCTTCGTTAAGGAGATATTAAGAGAAAACCCCGACCAATCACAGCGCGCGTAGACCGTTGGAGTGGCCACGGTAGCGTAGGCTACGCGCTGGCGGCCGCGCTTGCACGCGAACAAGTGACTCGACGTGCATCGAAGCATCGACCTAGCGCGTAGCCTTCGCTACCGCGGCCGCTCCAACGGTCTACGCGCGCTGTGATTGGTCGGGGTTTTCTCTTAATATCTCCTTAACGAAGCCCCATCCGACATTCTTGCAAAGGAAATTGTTGTTCAGAATCGTCTCAGCTACCCCCCATTTCCGGCTCCTCCCCGACTTTTGAGACACCCTGTATACAAAAAAAAAAATACATAAAGTATCAGAAATGTTGTTCTAGGATTAAAAATCAGTAAACAATGGAAAAAAAACCTACCACAACTACGAAGATTCGAACCCTGGTCGACGGCGTGACAAGCTTGTACTCAACCACTCACCCACCGATCATTCTTTGATTGCAGTTTCACAGAATTATATTACAAGATGCGTATCAAATTTTAAATCAAAATATCTCGAAAACCAAGGCCCGTTCTACAAAAACACGTGAGAGTTTTGTTATACTACATGTGTATTACAACTTCTATATGGTGTGATTCAAAAAACGAGAGCATGACCCTGACCGTCCCTTGTAAGTATTAAAGTCAACCACTTTTATTGCCCACTCTCACGTCCTCGTCATTTCCAGTCGACTTCTATAAAACGTCATAATAAAACGCAAGTACCTGCCAGCCTTCAGGATATACCAATCGCCATCGCGCACATAATGCTCTTCCATTACAGAGCAACGACTAGAGAGAATCTCATAACTGTCGACGCTAAATTTTGTCGGACACCATCCGACGTTGTACTCATCTCCCACCAACAGCTTAAACAACATAATTTCAGTATTTGATTATAAATGACACATTTTAGCAGGTGGCACTCTTGTGTATACTAATTGTTTAATAACTTCTTAAATTCTAAACATTGTTTTTTTTTTAAATGTTTAAAATATTATAAACTCAATATTTTGTAAAAAAAACTTTACGTCACTTTCCGTAGAATATTGTTTTATTTAACGATTCATCAGTCTGATTACAGTCAGGTCTCCATAAATGCACAAAATTTCTCTACGATAAATGCAAAAATATATAAAATATCTAAGCAATGTAGCACTTTTTAAATTCTAAACATTGTTTCCTTTTTTCAAATGTTTAAAATATTATAAACTGTTTCTTTTACGGCACCATGAAGTGAAAAAAAGGCGTGGAATATCGACTACGTAGTAGTAGATTCAAAGTAGCACCATTTCGTTAGTGCTCAATATTTTGTAAAATAACTCATTCCTTAATTTTAATTTCTGTAATTGTTGATACAGTAAAGTTTCTATAAATGCACAAATATTTCTACCATAAATGCACATAAATCATCCCCACCTGTGCGAGGTATACCTCTTAAGGGGACCAGGAATTCGATCGCTGAGCAGTGTAACATAATCCGGGATCGGATTACTCGGTGAGAAAATTTAATGGCAACGGTAAAACCTTTCTTATTATTCACTTTTTTATTGTGAAACTTTTACCATCATATTCCTGACATTTTTCTGATTAAAATGAGACCAAACGCGATATAATTTTGATGATATTCCCCATGCAACCTTTTTTAGTTAATGTTCTACGATTCTATACCAAACAAAATCTGCATTGTCACGAGTCACACACTAATTATAAATAATTTCCAAACTCACCAGTAAAAAACAGCCCCTCGAGTGTTGATAAGCGGCGTGTATTTCGTTATAAAAATGTTCAGCTAAGAATGGATTTCTATCAGGATTTACGTTCGTTGCGTATTGCATGTCCACCAAGAGAACCTACGTAATTATTCATCCGTTAATGATTATATTGTGTACGCTAACGTGGAAAACACCAACGTATGTAAATATTATGTAAATTTCGCTAGTTAACCCTTTAACTTTAAGGAACCTTTAAGTTTTCAATTTTTATTTTTGGAACTAATTAAGAATTTAAAAATCTCAGAATCTCAGAATTTCGGAATTTCAGAATTTAAGTATTTAGGAATTTCAGAATTTCGAGATTAGAGAATTCAAGTATGTAAGAATTCCAGAATTTCAGAATTTCGGAATTTCGGAATTTCAGAATTTAAATATTTAAGAATTTCGGGATTTCAGAATTTCAGAATTTAAATATTTAAGAATTTCGGGATTTCGGAATTTCAGAATTTAAATATTTAATAATTCTAGAATTCTGAAATTTCGGAATTTAAGTATTAAAAAATTTCGGAATTTCAGAATTTCGGAATTCAAGAATTTATGAATTTCAGAATTTAGTTATGATCCCAAAAGTGCCTAAAAATCAAACTCAGCAAGAATCATCCCAATGTTAGAAATCCAAAATTATATTACATTTATATTTTTCATTTTCCTAATGTTCAATATAACGTGAAAATTTACGTTTTTATAAAAGACGTATAATTTAATGAAAAGTTATTTATTACAGCATGCAATAAAATCTCTAAATAATTTAGAAATTAAAATGTGGTACGAATACACTGTAAATATAAAAAAATTCCGTCTTATCGTACTCTATAAGCTGACGTCAAATATCGTAAGAACAAAGTTATTTGTCAAAATTATTTAAACAAACTTAGTTATTTACGAACCTCGATTCCCATGCAATCATATATCGATTGTAATTCTGGTCCAACGAGCTCCAGTAACTGCTTCCTCTCCTCTACAAATTCTGTAAATATTTAAACAAGATTGTGGCAACGTAACATAAGAAAGACACCCTTATTTTTAAATGTAATATTTAAGAAACGAATTTCAAATCAATTCAATTATTTTGGATAAAGTATTCGTTCCCCACATGCAATACTAGAAGGTAAAATAATCGATCAATAAATGATTCTATTTTTCGTAAATTTTTAATTTTCATATGTAGAAATATACCAATACTTTTTGCAAATAGAAGGTATTATGTTTTCTTCCGCGGATACTAAAAGTATATCTTACTCAAATGTGATAGAATTTATGAATTTAAGAATTTAAGAATTTAAGAATTTAAGAATTTAAGAATTTA